GGGGGGGGGGGGGGGGGGGGGGGGGGGGGGGGGGGGGGGGGGGGGGGGGGTCAGGAAGGTTCAAGCTTACCACAAGGCGGTGAGGGCTAGGAGTGCATCAAAATATGGGTGTGGCGGCGGGGGGGGCGGTCATACACCAAAAACACGAACGATTTCTGACGGACAATATGGATGCATGCTCAAAGGCGTCTCCATTCCAACACAGCTAGTAGACTCACGAACCACTACCCTGAACCTCCCACACCCCTTCCTGTACCACACCCCGTCAAAATGCCCTCTCTTTGTGCGTGCACATAGCTTCGTCATGTGTGCAGCTGATGCTCGCTGCAGCTGTATTGGTGCTCATGTAATACGCTACCGCACCTGCACGCCCGTACCAGGATCTGTCCAGTGGTGACGCGTGCAGCCACAGCCCGGCCTGCTGCTGTTCAGACCTCTGCGGTTGTTGTGTCATGCTTCCCCACTGTAAGCGGCGCTATCGCCGTGCCAAATACGCTGCCAATTGCCTTGCCAACTTTCGGGGTGGGCACGACGGGGGTCTGCCTGTCTCTGTCTCTGTCCCTGTCTCTGTATCTCTCTGAGGGCGGGGTTATGCTACCGCTGAAGCGCTCATGCTACCGTAGGTCGGTGCTGCCGCTGCTGCACGCCGTAGCCGTCGCCGCAACACACAGTTCAAACAACCCCCCTCTCCCCGTTCGTACCTCAAGCATGGTGGGCGACGACAGCCTCTTCTTGATAGCGCTCTTGAGCTCGATGGATCTGCCCGACACCTTGTCTCCCAGGCGGCCGAGCTCGATCTCCATCTCGCTCACGTGCTGCATGGCCTCTCGAAGGCGCCGGATGTCGTCGACGGCGGCGATGGCCTCTGGCCGGTGGTGCGCCCTGTGCAACCAAACCGCCACCACAACCGTATGGGCAGCCGGGAAAAAAATAGTGCGTGTCTCGTGAGTGAATTCACACACTCGGAAGAGGAGACAAAAAAAAATGAAAGGCACAGCTCTGCCCCCTTGAGCCCACTCCGGCACATCACTTGTTACTCCATAATTTGTTCACCTTGCACCTCGGCGGAAATTTCGAATTTTCAGAAAGTGCTTCAATGCTCTTGACCACCGCCGCGCCTTGGACCTTGCGAATGCGCTAGGGCTTCCAGTTCCCCCCAGGCCAACCCCAATCAGACATGCTCTACGACGTTTTGCCTGCCACGCTACGAACGGCACCCCCGGGGGGAGAACCTTGAATAGAGAGGGGTTGCTCGGGAAGCAGCGTTGCCCACAACTGAGTTGTTGTCTCGTCGTTCTTGCGGAAAAACAGCTTCTAGGCAAAAGTGGTGCGCTCGGTCGGTGGTGTATTGTAAACAGGGCGGCCGGAGATGTTTGGACATGAAGACACACAACATGGATCGTTGCTGAAGTGCGGCAAGCAGTTATATAGGAGGCGTCTTACGCCGTAACCCTTCCACAGTCAGCAGGTCTTCATGACGAAACGACTCTGAAGTGTATCGATGCTGAACCTTCAGATCTACTTAACCTTTTGCTGCGCGCAGGAGGCACTTTGTAAGCGGGTCACTCAACCCACTGCTGGTGTAGTCACTCACTGAGGAGAAGCCTGGGAGCGAGCCCCGCCTGCCCCGTAGAAGCCCCCCTGCACCCCCGCTTGGCCCCCAGAGTACGTCACGTTGTCCGAGAACGCGCGCCTGCTGCTGCTGCTGCTGGCTCCTACCGACCTCGTTGCGGCCGCCGCCCACCCGCGTGTTGCGGCAGCTCGGGCTACTCTTTGCATCATGTTTTCACAGGGTCGTGTTCAGCGCGCCGAGTTGCCTTGGTCTGGCCGGTTAGCGCTGCTGTTCCCCATGACGAACGTTGTTGAGGGCAGCGGAGGAGGGCATTGGATACAAACAAACAAATAGCGCAGCGGGTGCGGGAAGCGGCGCGCGTACACCCGAGGAGACCAAGTTGTACTACAGCCGACCCCGCTTTAAGGACGCTCGCGTTAAGGAAACTCCCCGCTTGAGGAAATTGGTTTAGCTGAGCACCGGGGGCCCGGCAGAATATACGATGATGGGTTACCCCCCTTTTTCTGCCGCATACCCCCCTTTTTTTGTGTCCTGCGGGCCTGCGGGACGCTCTTTGCACGAACCACGCACCACAGTGAGTGCAGAAGTAGCCGGCGGTCTTCTGCTGCAGCTGCAATTGGGTGTTGGCATAGATAGATTCCTCCCATCTACCGGCGGTCCATCTGGTACCGCCAAAAAAAGAGTCGTGCATAACCTCGTCCCTCACCGAGGGCGAGCTTATCTCTCGCTTGGAGGACGTTCGATCCCACAGATAGGGCCCGCAGTTAAGAAAATTCAAAATCGGTTCGAGCCTCACCAATCCCTTCATTTGGGTCGAAGTACCGGCCCAAGTTTTCCATTTCGTCAATGGCATCTCTTCTTCCTTTGGACTGTCGCATCCTCCCGATTCTCTTATTCCTTAGACTACAACAAGTACTTCGTATTTTCTATTTTCTGTCTTTTGATCTCTGAGGACAATCCACATTATCAAGCGCTCAGGAGANGGGGGGGGGGGGGGGGGGGACTCTGCCCCCTACAAAAAAATATGCACTTCTGTTCAGCTTGGGAGGGGGTTGGGAGCACCGCAGATTTCTGTGTCATGGGGGTATCGCACCATCACGTTTTCCATTGGGGCGTTTCTTACGTTGTGGCCGAGATTGAGCCATGTTTCTTACGCCCTTTTTTCTTATTTTTCGTACAAACTTGAGCCTTTTTTCTCAACAGAATGTTTCTGAACTGCGGGCGCTATCTGTATTTGTAGGCGAAGGGAAGGGGTGGCGAGTACCGTGAGACGCAGTACCTTCTTTCGAAGACCGTTCATTCGTTTACTGATGAACCTCAACAGAGCCATAGAGCCAAGCCGCGGGGGGAGGTTCAGGGAACTCTTTGCGATATGTGGAAGGAAAAGCCATCAGGGTAGCTTTTGGTCTCCGCCGGGACAGTGATATGTACTGGTGTTCCTAGGTGCGACGCTGAAATACGCTTGTTTTTTTTTGGTTCACAAGAATGAGATAAATATATGTCTGCTTGGACTTTCCTCCTTCCGCTGCCGGCTAAGCAGTACATTATATAGTTGGCCAAGTACAACCTGGTGTACTGTAGTTGTTTTCCACACGTCCACGACTACTGTACATCTCATTCCAAGTTTTGTAAATATGTTGGACGTTAACAAACGGGTGCCAGTCGTCTCGGCGATGCTGAATTTTCGTACGACCCCCTTCCTCAGCGAAAGACACGTAGTTTGAGGTGTAAAATGCCTCCCTTGGCCCCGGGGATGGTGAGCTAACGTCCCCTGAATTTCAATGACCCAACCCCATTTTTTCAGTAAGAAAATATGTGCGTCCTGTGGTGCAATCGGGCCGCTTTTCTTGGGACTGTGGAATTACCGGGTAACTTCGGGTAAAGTGTGGTATGGAACAGGGTTGGTGTAAATTGAGCGCAGTCAAGAGCACTACTTGGAAAGAGAGTAGGTGGAAGAGAGCGGGAAATGTTTGAAAGAGTACTGAACTATCGGGAAGTTGTGAGGCGGATCGGTGTGTGTGTGTGTTTTCGTCCTATGTATTATGGTGACAGTCCCCCCATTTTTTCGTGGTGAGACGTGTACTACGATTTTCAGCGTATTTTTCGTACAACTACAACCATCAAGGTTCACACAGGAAGGGGTAAACACCAGGGCCTTTTCCTTCTTTTTGTTTCTTTTCATGCCCCACCTTCCTCCTGCGGTGCGTGTTGAATTTTATTTTTATCGCGAGAAGGGTTCAGCCGTCCCTTTCCCTCGTCAACGGTGCCAACGTCGAAGTTTGGTACTCATGAGAGCTTTTTAGCTATATTTCGCTTTCACCCGCATATTTCGTAAATTTTTCACCCCATGGGGATTCGATCTCACGACCTCTGTGACTAGCGGATTGCGAGGATACCACTAGACCACCGGGGCGATATATTCATCGGAGAAAATTTTTGAGAGATTTGACAGGAGGATTGGATTGAAGCTTAGATTCTCGGAATGCAAGTATGGACTGTCAGTAGAGTTGAAGTTGAGAGTAGGATTTTGAGAATTGCATGTGTGTGGACGAAGAGACACCAAGGACAGTCTGATCCACCAGGAGTCTTCCCCCTTGTTGTCCCGGTACGGTCACAACTTCTAATATCACGACACTTTGATCGCAGCTCCACTGAACTTAAACATTACCATGACAAGACCCTTGGCATCAACACAAATACGTACACGGTGGGAAACGCACCCCGATCCCCCGACGGTCCTTAACCCTTATGTGACTACAGCCGCGAATGAGCTCCGTTCCCAGCTCCGATGACTCATTAATGCGACATTATCGAACCGAATTCAGCCCGAATTGAGCTGTGGATACCTGCGTCGACGAGGGCCGGACTCGACGAGTACACCGTTGAAAAGGAACTTAATAACGACGGGGACAGCATCAGTAGCGTACCCTACACAATCGTACCCGCAGAGACCGGGGTGCTGCTGCGCCGCGGTCTTCCTTTCCGCAAGGTTCCTGATCTCGGGTAGGGGCTGCGGCTCTGCTGCCCCGTGTTGACAGTAGCGCTGTCCCACCGCCCGGGCTGCAGCAGCCGTGGCGTCGGAAGTTGGTCTGGCGTGGAGTCATCCCAGACAACACGTGGAGCCGTCTCGGGATGCCATTGGTCTGCTATGTGCTGCCAAAACTGAGCAACTTCCTCTGGGTCCATGATGATGGCAGTGATTGGGATACGTCTGCTGCTGCTGTTGTGCCTAAAGGTAGAGAGGTAGGAGCGGCAAGGAGACTATCGTCCCCGGCCACTTTTCGCTCACAATAGCAAGGGTTTTCGGGACTACAGCTCGGATCACAGCTCCGATCGTCCCCCTCTATCTTTAGTATAGAAACTGATAATTTTGCACGATTTTATTCATTTTGACCCGATATTGCGTTATTTTGCGATTCGTACACATCAGTTGGTGAAGACTTCAGACTTTTCTTCGTTTTGTGCCCACGTTATCGCTGGCGCACAGGAGTAAGGGTCCACCTTGCGATGTCTCTGGAAGGGTTCCCTCTACGTGTGCGCCTCGGCGTCTCTTTTCAACTGAACGTCATAGCACGAGGCCTGCTGCTTCTGCTACTGGTGTGCTGCCGACGGTTGGATGTTTTTTAGGATTTTTTCCCGATGTCACATTCGTTCGTGCGTGGACATGTCTCGTCGCTCCCAACGAAGGAGCACTGAAAGTGGAACGTTAGGAGGTGCCATGCCTCGCGGGCGGGGTGTGCTGCCTCGGCCGCGGGCGGACGGCAGTAATATTACTCGAGCTATGCCATGTGGATACCCATGTTCAGGTCACAGCAGCAGCAGTGCGGGGTGAAGACAATGTGTCTGCCTCTCTCGATCGAGCCCCCCAGTTCACGCCCAGCTCGTACAGCAGTCACCGATGAAAGCCCTGATGTGTGTTGGTCTGCTGTTATATACCAAAGGTTTGTGTGAGCAAGGGAGTGGCGTGTGGATGCGACCATTTGTACTCGAGTGCATGTGGGAGATACCGGTAGGTGTGTAGAGAACGGGAGACGGTGGTTGAAATATGTGTGTTCCACAGCCTTGGCCTTGATGATGTCAGCGGTCTCTTGGCCCAGTTGAGGAAAAAAAGACCCCGGATGATCCAGGGAAAACCCAGTCGCATAAGGGTTAAAGCGGGGTCGACTGTACTGCTGCTGCGCGTCATGCCATCACGAATTCTTCTCTTCCATGTGTACAGCACCTCAAAATTCGACAAAAAAGAGAGGCCAGATTGCAGCAATCGTCTCGTCAATTCCTGACCAGAAACGTAGCCTATGAGATCGTCTCCCATACGCCGCTCGAGGGGCATCGGCAGCACAAGCCAAGATGCCTGCTCCTTCCGAACTTCAATTATTGCAGGCGCAGCAGTAGTGAACTTTCGCGTCGGAACCCGGTCGGGGTGCAAGTTGGAGAATCGGAATCTTTGCCGCTGAAAATCTACAGCACAGTTACCGCAGCACGAACAAATGGCAGCTCACCGGTGTCGATAGTAGAATACGCGAGCAAGTGTGCGCCTGGACAGTGTACCCTAGCTGTGCTACACAGACTGCTGTGGAGCTCTCAGCTGGCTCGCGGCTCGCATAGAGGGCTGGGGGGGGGCTATATTGACTGGGTGGGGTACGATTTATCGGAACCCCCCCAATAACCGGGGGCGCAACCATATTTCAATCCATGGATTACACAAGAGAACCACAGTCCAAACATCCACACAGATCAAAACCCCGTGAAACCGCCCACGGAGCGTCCCCGAAGAGGTTCTCACTCTCGCTCAAATTCAAAATTATCTCAGAGCCTGGATCTAACTCCCGTAGTCTTCGGAAGAGCTCTCGTCTGCAGCAACAGCCCCAACAGGCCATACTGCCATACTGGCACATATCACGCCAAGGTCACCCTTCACACCCGGGATGCCCAGGAGACGCTAGGCCTCAGACGAGCAAGAGGACACGACCACACACACACACAACGCCCCGCACTCAGGGAGTGCTCGTCTCCCCCTGTGTGTCTATCCGCGTGTGGTGGTGGTTGTGCTGCTGGTGTCGTTCGAGTGGTGGTGGTGCTGCTGATGTTGTGCTGTGCTGCTGCTGCAAGCAATTGTTGCTGTAGATTTTGTGAACTGCATACATACAACAGCAGTATTTGGTAGATATAACCTGCTGCACGATGCTGCCGTCCGGGATGTCAGTCATCATGGGGCCGTCAAAATCTGTAGGCATCGTTTAGTTCGCACACCGCAGGCCCGCTCAACAAACTCGAGACGCGGCTCACACGGTTTTCTTCGCAGAGCACACAGGTCGACAAGCACAGATAGACGCAGAAAAAAAAAACAGAACAAACAAAAAACAACAAACAAGAGCGATTTGATGATAGATTGACCCGCACCAAAAAAAGAAAGGACCTGGATATAACCCAAACACGGCAAAAAAGGGGCCGGACGAAGAAAGAAAGAAAAGAAAGGAAAGTGGAACAAAAGAAATAAAAACAGGACAGGAACCAGAGGGTCCCATCGAACGCTACACCGCAACAACCAAATAGACAAACACCAAAACGACAACATCACAGACGGCGATCGGCGCAAAAACGCGGAAGCGAAAAATAAACAACACACCGAGCCTTGACCTGCCGCCGGGAGGACAAAACATCGTTCAGGCATATGCCCCGGTGACGTCGTAAACCTAAGGCCGCGTACCGCTACTCACGAACCCCGAGTATGCAACACCGAAACTAGAGTTGGGACCCAGAAGTCGCGGCGCTCTTGATACCCCCTCTTGTGTATCTTTCTGCAGCGCCAGGTCGTCTTTTATTGCTTGTCCTAGCGGGCAGGCGAAGAGTCCCAGGGTTGGCCATGAAGAGAGCCGCCCCCCGCCCTCCCGTCGTTGTTGTTCGTACCCGCCCTGCTTGCATATTGACCATCGTCAGAAATTGGTCCACGAGGGCTATGGCGACTGTCGGTGAAAAGCGATCAGACAAAATACTCGCGGCTTGCCCGAGCTTCTTCGTTACGTCGGCGTACAACACTTGTCTATCCTGGTCCGTGGGCCCCTTCTCCTTCAAGTCCAACAGGACCGTCTGCACCGTCTGGCTGCTCCCAACGAAAGACTTCCACCTCCCGCTGCATCCCCCCACCCCCCTCCCTCTCCCTCTCCCGCCGCCCCGTCCACTTCTCGCGCAGCGTGGCGGTTGGATACCACCCATCGAGGGCGGGCGACATCCGGCCAGTCCTGCTGCGGTGTTCCCCTCGCCTTTTCCGTCAGCCAGTGCTCGTGCAGGAGGCCTACGTGGAATCTGAATCGGGGGCTGTGCATCATCGCCGCCCACACGTGGCGACAAAATAGCCCGAGAGTTTGGAGTGTGCGGCACTGGCAGAGATTGCTACCGTCGGAAAAGAGCAAGATGAGGTAGTCGAAGGCTTTGCCATCACGCTGCTCGTGAATCCTGAAGACGTAGATGACGCCGCAAAGCTTGCCCTCGATGTACTCGAACGTGCGCCCCAAAGCTGCGGCGCGTTCTGGTCCATCCGCCTCCCCACCACCCATCTGGCAAAACATGATGGCCGCGGTCATCTCTTGCTCCATGAACCGCCGCGGCCAGCCCGCGATGGAGAACTCGCAGGACTCGAGCACACTTTTTTTGAAAGCGGTCGCTGGTGGAGCCACCATCCGATTAGGCGGCAGATGGTCGATGGCGTCACGCAGCATGGGGGCATCCTTCTGGGAACGGATGATGCCCGAAAAGTACGTCGCCACGTCCAAAAGCGAGGAGCGCGAGTTGCACTTATCCTTGATGAGGGCGTTTTGGCCTGTTGTGTGTCCGGCGGACAAACACGCAAGAAGCGACACACAAACCAAACCGTGGCTTAGTGATTGGTGTCATCAGACATCGTCGAAGTCGCAGGACGCCGAACGACTGAAAGAGAAGCCTATGACTTGACGCACCCATCGCCACAGATGTATGTACACGTGAGCCGGACGATCGCAGTGCACCGACCAAGTACATCAATCCCGAACAACAGGGGGCGGACAATAGCCTCATGTTTCGAAGACGTAAACATCAGCGGCATGTAGGGAGTTGTTTACTGGTCATGCACTGACGGCGTACGATAAATTCGTCAAGATGCACTCACCAATGGCATAGTTAATAGGGGGCAAGGAAGATAGCCGCCCCCAACCCCTGCAGACGTTGAAAAACTCCCAAAAACAGCGACAACGCTGCATGCGCTGTCGTTCTCGAACAAAACGCTCATGGCAGATGACGCATAAACGCACCTTCAACACTTGATGTCGTCCACAAACCCACGGAGAACACCAGGGGCGACACATATTCCACCCACCGTGCGCGGTCGTCATATACCACTCGCATGTACTTCTCCGCCTTCGGGTGCTTTTCGATGAGGGCGTTGAACTTCCGTTCTTTGCCAATGACAGCTGCTGACGCACACACCTGAACTCGTCCATGAAAGGCTGCGGAAAACACAAACGACGTAGGCCGGGTGGGTGTTGCGTGAGTTGGGACCTCGGCGATGAGCTACCGGTCTGTACGATTGACTGCCCCCAACAACCCCCGTACATTTCGTTAGCGCTAAGGCGAGACGAGGAGAGGGTTGAAAAAACTCAGCGACATATCATTGGTGAAAACAACCTGCTGCTGCTGCTCCTGCTGCTGCTGCTGCCGCTTTTCCTGTGTGCACTGGACGTCGTGAGGTATGTTTCCGTCGAAGCCGAGGTCGTCTCCGCATCACGGTCTACGCAGATACGCTGGATATCACCCTTCCGAGTAGACGACAACGCCACTCATCCATGACAACGCACCAACTTGCACGGGGGATTCAAGCGGGAGTGGGGGAGGGGGAGCGTACGTCGCGCGACCAGGACAATACGAGAGGCCAGACTAACCACGCCAACACACACAGTAGAGCGCACCTTCATCTCCCCACCAAGGACTTTAGCGAGGGCCTTGATGATGTTCTGGTTGAGGTGCCATAAACAGCGCCTCGCCAGCGCGTCCGGGAACACCTCTCGCACCGCCGCCGTCATCGCCGCATCCGCGTCCTGGATGAAGATATCCGGCTGCTTCCCCCCGCGAGACTCCAACGCACTCTTCAACATCCACAGGAAAGTGTCCGTTGTGGTGTCCGCCGTTATGCTTTGGCCGACGATCCGCGTCCGATACTCTGAATCGATGACAGCGAGCACACCGAGGGGCATCCGGTATCTGTTCTTGACGGCGGTGTCGTCGTAGAGCGCAACGTGACCGTACCGATTCCAAAGCACCACCTGCGTATTCGGAGCATGACGTCGAAGGGGGTCGAGAGCACTAAATTGTGGGTATGACGTGTGTTGGACGCGTCACAAAGCACCCCACCCTTGCCTACGGCCTGCTTTCGGTCAGACGTCCTACATTTGCGGACGGCCAAGCTGTACGTGCGAGATGCTAAAATGAAAGCAAACCTTCCGGCTGGGGAATATTCGTATGGGGCACAACGACCGGCGACCTACCTGCTCTCTCGTTTGCCACCAGATATGCGTCAGGCGGCCGCTGTCATCCATCTTGATCTCGCACAGTCCGCCGTCGGCCGTCGCGGCCATGACCTGAAATTGCAACATGTTAAGGGCCCGGAAACATCGAGGGCATCAGCGCAAATCCACGACGACGGCACGGCACACATTTTTTACCGCCAACATTTCTTGGTTTGGTGTCATGGGGCATATATTCTCCCGGTTTTCACCTGCGATCGTGTGTGTCTCGCGCCCGGTTACCACCTTGAGCAAAACCCAACATCCCACACACAAACAAGCGAGGCAACACTCTCAACGGACACATGGACACACCTCTTCGTACGCATCGGCGGCATCTCTCGGCTTCTCCGCCCCGTGCACAGTGGCAGCCGCGTTCTGCACCGCGCGCTTGTTGATGTCGATGTCGCTGTCCTCGTGCAACGCCTTCATTGCTTTTGTCACCTCTTTTGGCTATATCCCGTGACCTGCACCGTATGGGAGAGCCGAGAGCACAAAAATAAGTGGCGTGTCACCGACAAACAGGGTATCAAGGTGGAGGCGACAGCAGCAGTACCACGCTTCAAGGGCCGTTCGTCATGCGGCATCATGACTACCAACCATGACCAACCGTGGGATACGACGGGAGCTACTGTAGACCTACTCCAATGCGTTCAATCTTCTCACTTAACATCTGCTTCACTTGTCCCAGCTGCTCCTCCGTTCGATTTGATGCGAGGCGAAGCTTGACGTCGATGGCCTTTCGGTTGACGCTGTGATTGTGCGTGAGCTTCATGTTGCTAATCCTGGGCCACCTGTGGGACTTCGCGTGCCGGACGCTAA